GACATTTTATTTATTGTCGCTCCCGTCCTCCTTCTTCACGAATATTACATATGCTGCGGCATACCTGTGTATATATATATATATACACAGGGTATGCCGCAGCATATGTAATATTCGTGAGAAGGAGACGGGAGCGAGATAAATGAAAATGTCTTATTCCATTTTGCGACATTCGCAATAATTTTCGAAATATTAAATATTAAAGTTGCACAATAAGAGCGCAAATAAGACCATAAATGGGGAAAAAGCGCTCGCCCGAACCGTAGGACGGCCCAGCGTAATGACAATGATCATTCGGCGCTCAATGATGGGCGGAGCGCGCACGGCGAGGGAAAGGAGTCGCCGCTCATGCTTCTTATTCGTCCTACATCCTACAATCTGTTTTATCTTCTTTCACTTTTGCCATCACTTCCATATTATTAACAACACAGGTCCATGATGTCTTCTGGATACATTCGCACAGATTAGGTTCGCATCTACTTCATTTATTCATACATATACGTATGTAAAGTCTCGGTTCTCCATGGAACGTACTTTTCTAGATACGCAGATTACAAAAACCAATCACAAATTGGTTTAGCATTTCTGTTAGGGAGTATATAAACAAGCCCTAATCAGCAATTGATTGTATTAATTACGCATTTCTCGAAATTCCGGGAAATACGCTTTATGTGAAAGAAGGCTTTCAGAAACGTGGCGTAACGTGTTTTAATAAAATACTAGAATATACAAATTACGCTTACGTAAGTTATGCCGCATGTAACGGCACTCTTATTGTAGCGTATGACCATAACACGCGCCGAATATAAATAGTAAGGCCTGTTCTACAATGTGTCGTGTGTCGATATCGTGGGTCGTAGGCCGTAAGAATGGGCCAATCACAGATGAATGTGGGAGGAATACTTGATTATGATTGACTCATTCTTACGGCCCACGCACCGACACATTGTAGAATAGGCCTAAAGTCAAATTTGGAATCTTTTTTTAAGATAATAGCTCGACATGAGCAACAAGGAAGCTTTAATTATGGGCAATATTAATGTAAAATAAAGTGCATACATTTTAATAATTTTATAATATATTTCTGCTTGATAAAAATATTATGATGATATATTTGAAGCTGGTGTCCCATGGCGCGGAAATCTACAACGGAATGGAACGCGCAAACCAGTCATAGCGAAAAAAACCAAAAGAAAACTCGTTCATTCTATTCTTTTGCTGTAATTGATTCGCGCGTTCCGTTCCGCTGTGGATTCCCACACGTATAATGCATAACGTATAACTTATAACGTATAGCACAGGATGCAGTTTACTTGGTGCTACAAATGCTTTGAAGCATTTTTTGATTGGTCAATTCATACAATTCTTTGTTTTGATTGGTTATCAATCAAACGCTTCGAAGCTTTTGTAGCGCTAAAAGGATCGTAGCCACAATACTGCAACAGTACATAACATGTATCTGTCAAAATAGATTACTGAAACATTTATTTTGTTTCATGGAGCACAGATGTGCAATTTATACCCCAGCCAATCAGAGTCTACTAACATCATGTGACGATTGGAGAGTCTCTTCTTATAGGGTTATTTATAGGGTTTTTTGTCATAGGACACGGCAAAAGTACGGAAAGTGCAAGCAATGCGAACAAACCTATGTGCATCTGGGACATTGTTCCTGTTGCATCAGTTAATTAAGTCTCGGTCTACAATAGATTATTTAGACTCTATTGCACTAATATTATTTGGGCTTTAAGCGAGACTTAATACATAATATACGTGACATATATTATATATTAAATATCATTTAAAATTCATAATAATGTTGCAATCGAGCCTTAAGCTTTAAACCATAAGTCTATAATACCCTAGTCTATAAGTGTCGGTCCACAATAGGTGATTTAAGCTTTAAGAAGTAAGAAATTGACCAATTATAATCGAATATGAAAAAAATAATCGACTATGATTGGTCAATTTCTTACAACTTAAAGATTAAATACTTATTGTGGACCGACACTAATAGGTGATTTAAGCCTTAAGCCATAAGAAATTGACTAATCATGGTCAATTATTCTTCTATTCTTCGACTTGATTCGTCCATTTCTTTTTGGCTTAAAGTTTAAATCTATTGTAGATCGGGATTAAAAAATAGTCGAATCATAGTTGAAGAATAGGAGAATAATCGACTATGATTGGTCAATTTCTTATGACTTAAGGCTTAAATCACTTATTGTAGATCGGGACTAATCTGTCAATGTAATTGGTCTAAATTTAGAGATCTAACAGTAAAGACCAATAGTCACTGATCGTTTATTACCATTTGTTCCGCTGTTGCAACCAAATGGTCAGTGGTGGTGTTACAAAAAAAAATAGCAAAAAATGGCCGCGCTGTATGTCGTGTGTCGTGTGTCGTTGTCGGTCGTTTTGTGCTGTATGAATGCGTTTAGCTGTTAAATAAATATGCCAAAAATATTTTTATTGAGTCATGATACGAATTTGACGAGCCACGATTAGATTACGAGCATCATACTTTCATTTGCTGTAGAATTGAAAGAAGTGCTGATTTTGTTTCATACTGAATCGTGTGGCGTCGTCGTTAGAATAAAATCAGGTACTTATAAAATTAGGTATCGAACCAGGATTAAAACACTGACAGATTGATGGACAGTATATCTCAATTTGAAATAAATAAAACGAATTAAAATAATGTTATACATTATATATCGTGGTGTACTTTTGGTGTATTGGAATTGTTTTTAGCGTTACTAAACACAAGTTTTAAGGTAAGAAAAGCAGATGTATACAGTATACATTAATTTTTAATCTAAATTTAAATGTTAATGTAATTTAGATATATAACTCTTATAATTATAGATATCCAATTGCTGTATATTTTGAAAATAATGAAAAATTTATTAGAATTTTGGAAATTAGGTCTTATATAGAAATATTAAACTTTTATTCTGCTTATTCTTTTTATCCTTTTTATTTAAACTAATCCTTTTATCCTTTTTGTTATAAACAAATTATATATTTTTATAATTAAAGATAGTCAAAAAGATGAGTTTTTACAGTTATATCATTTTGTCATTTTATTGCAAAGACAAGAAAGATAGAAAATAAAGCGTATTAAAATTTAAATGTAGATTTATATAATTTATTGGTGTTAAAAATAAACTTCCAAAAAAATAAATAGTTAACATTGACTAACATGACATATATACTATAATTTATATTGGTTATATAAAATGTATCGTCAAACTATTATTTATTTAAATTTTGAATAATATAACAATAACAATAAAATAAATAAATCAAAGACTTTTCAAGGAAATAAAGCATAACTAGTATTTAAAAATCAAGTGTTGTAGTTAGTGCTTGTAAGTTATCAATTATAATATTATATTCTTATTGAAATCTATAAATATATATCTATAAATTTATAAATATATCTTTTTGTATTTAATTTCAATAATAATATAATTATACAATACAATAATACAATACAAATACAATAAAAATACATACAAATACAATAATAATTTATACTTACTACAGTATTTAACTTTTATTTGTTTTGTATTTTATTCTTTTATTATTTATTTTTTTCCTTAATCCATACCATGTGGCTTAGGATGGCTTTCTGTTCAATTCATGATTTGTAACTTGTTTGCAATTTATTTAACAATTTTGTACTTCTATATAATCTATGATCTATCTTATATCTATTATTTAACAAACTACAACGCGAAACATGGCATTTCCTCGACAAGCAAGATCTTGATTGCTAAAATTTTTAATATGAAATAAATTCAATTAATTATATTACTAATTACATGCCGCTTTGATTTAGCAGACTTTCAACATAGTGGCTCTATAATAATTCAATGATCAATGTTATTGATATCAATTAAAATCCCTTTTTATCATTCCCCTCAGATTATAGAGCCACTATATTGAAAGTCTGCTAAACCAAAGCGGCATGTAATTGGTAATATAATTAATTGAATTTATTTATATTAAAAACTTTAGCAACCAAGATCCTACTTGTCGAGGAAATGCCATGTTTCGCGTTGTAGTTTGTTAGATAATAGATATAGAATAGATCATAGATTAATTAACATGTACTCGGCCTATATCTATGTATTCTATATCTATTATATTTACTAAATTTTATGATCTAAATTAAATTATACTAAATTAAATCTTGAAATTGCAGTTAGAATTATATTACAAATATTTATCTTATTTTTGACTCTATTCATTTACTAAATTAATATTGTAATTTGATACTATCAAGATCTTTGTAACTCACAACATGTAATTAATTTTGCTTTATAATGTGTTTCAATTAAAAACTAGAGATTATAAATTAACATTAAGATTCTTACTAAAAACTTACTTAAAATTACTACTAAAACTTCAATTTTAAAAATCAAAATCAAGATAATATTACCTTATAATGAAATTGTATCAATATGAATTATAAATTTAGATATACTTAGATCGAATTAATTAATTTTTTGTATAATATATCCCAAATATTAATTTATTTTTTGAACTTCTATTTTTTTCTCTCCATTTCCATTCTTTTTTTCCGATTCTTTTTCTTTTTCTTTTTTTTTTCACTTTTTCAAACACTATTAACTTTGATTTCTGTGCACTTTAATTCCTTTCTTTTCAAGAATCTTTTAAATCTCTTCAACATTTTTTTCATTTCTGACTTGTTCGCAAAATCTTTATGTTTTATTAATAATAAAATTTGTGTTAATCATAGAGGAGAAATCTTAGAGGAGATATCTTACACATACATTGAATTAAAATATCTGGTGCTAAAAACGATATCAAAATGGCACCAGTACCTTTAGAGGGTCATCAAACTCCTGTTACCAACAATATACCACAGGAAGGCAATCGTGGAGGATCCATTCCTTTAGCCTTGCTCATAGATTTCATTATACGTCGAACGTATCATGACCTTACCGTTCTTGCGGAATTGTAAGTACAAGTGTCACATCAAGTGTACTATTTTATGATCTATTTTACATCTGTCTCATTTTGCTTAGATTACCTCGTAAAACGGATATGGAGCGCAAAATCGAGATTTACAACTTTTCTGCTCGAACGAGGCAACTGTACGTTCGTTTGTTGGCATTGGTAAAATGGGCGAATAGCGCATCCAAAGTGGATAAATCTACAGTAAGCTATGTTCTTACTATATCTTATAGTAAATTATAATTAAAATAATAATCCAATAATTTGTTTTACTTTTTCTTTTAGCATATAATGGGATTCTTAGATAAGCAATCGTTGCTTTTCGTCGATACCGCGGACATGTTGGCCAGAATGGCTCGCGAAACTTTAGTACATGCAAGACTTCCGAATTTTCACATTCCTGCAGCTGTAGAAGTATTGACGACTGGGACATATGGCAGATTACCAGCTTGCATTCGAGTATGCATGGAAAAAAATTGTATTTTTTTGCAATTTATTATAAAATATGGCTAGCTTAAATGAATTATCATTCACCTTATATTTCTTCAACTTACATTTATTTCTTCAAATCATTTTTTAATACAAAAGATTTTATTAGATCAGAATTGAACCCTGAATTTATTGACTTATAAATTTATTACTTAAACATGGAGCTATATGTATCTTATATTAGCAATATAGCTTAAGAAATTATATTTATGTTAAAGGAAAGGATAGTGCCTCCAGATCCTATTACGCCTGCAGAAAAGAGAAGTACATTACAGAGATTGAATCAAGTTATTCAACATAGATTGGTCACAGGAAATCTGCTTCCACAGATGCGTAACTTGAAGGTAAATACAGAACAATGAAATAAATGTATAAATTCTATTAAAAATTATATTATGTGTGTGTATATATATATATGTATGTATGATAATTTTTTTATCATTTGATCAAATTCAATATGTTATATATAGATAGAGGCAGGAAGAGTGACATTTCTTGTTGAGCAAGAGTTTTCAGTATCTCTTACAGTAATGGGTGATGGACCAACAGTTCCATGGAGACTATTAGAATTAGAAATTTTGGTTTCGGATAGGGAGACTGGAGATGGAAAGGCATTGGTACATCCTTTACAAACTCGATATGTGCATCAAGTATGTTTGTTATATAATAAAGCTATTAGTGAACTATTAACAAACAATAGCCTGAGATATTTAACAGATGGAATTTCTTTTTATGACAGGTTGTTCAATCACGATTGGCTGAATGTACTAATCCATTATCGGAGGTGTATCATATCTTGCATTATTTTTGTCAATCGTTACAATTAGAAGTTTTGTATTCTCAAACGTTAAGACTGATTCGGGACCGATTAGATGATCATATTCATGTAAACGAATACACGCCTGGCAAATGTCTTTCTATATCTTATTGGAGGTAAGAATAAAAATAGCAAAAATTGAGATGCATGTATTTTAAAAAAATATTTACGCATGGTGTTTTCAGAGAATTGACGAGTAAGGATCCACGATCAGAACTTGGATATAGATTGACTATTCAAGTGGATCAACACGAGCCTGCGAGGCCGCTTGCAGTTGTGCATATCCCATCCTTAGGTAGTAAGGTAAATCGACACTGTTATATTTGCCAAACGTTATAACATTATATTATAATAAATATATACTAATACAGGAAAGCGAGATAGCACATAGAGCAATTAGGTCAGATCAATTATCAATGGAATGTTTACTCGTGCATACTATCTACATTCGAACGCGAAGTCGTTTATCCGAATTGAAACAGGAACTACAAACGATGCTGAAAGATGTCGAATGTAAGTTGAAAATTCCTTGTTGTTTCTTTGTTGTTATTTCTTTGTTCAGGAATAAAACAAAAAAATTAATAATTTAAATAACATCTTAGGTACCTTAGCAGGATCTCCTGCTATTTTATCAGTACCTATATTACAACCGTGCTTACGTGCCGAGCTTCTCTTAGTTACGGTTGACACTCATACCGGCATGCTACAATGTCATGTTCCTCAATATGACGCACCTCTCGTCCCAGAATTAACGACGGCCTTAAACGGGGATCATTCGCGTCTTCCGACGCTTATATCAGAATTAAGGTACTGTTATAATATTTTTCATTAGACTCATTTTCATATAAAAATTAAAATAATATTGAATTGTTCCTGACAGATTTTGGATAACGCAGAGGCGTTGTGAGAAGACGTTGCAACATCTACCAGCTACCTCGCACGAACGTTTGCCTGTGTTACATCATCCAGATCATCCTATGTCTAAAATTAGTCGGCATCGGATGTTTGTACAATTACATAGGCATCCTACAGTTATATTGGTACATATCTTTATTAATTTCAAAATAATTTAAAATATGTTATTCCAATTCCTGTACATATATATATATATATATATATATATATATATATATATATATATATTATTT